TGATTGGTCGCATCGTCATCCTTCCGCTATTCCACGTTCTCATTGTGTGGTCTTCTTCTTGCTCGGTTACTACACCTGGGATATTATGCGGATGTCAAGTATAAGAAGAGACACCAAGCTGACAGATTATAGGTCGCGGCACGAGAAGAGTCTTCACTTGTCACTGGAGAAATGGCTATGTGCCCCTCTGGGTGAGATTGTCGCCGACAAAGCTACCGGAAAGCCCCGATGTGTATACTGCGATGAGCTAGACCCCAGCAAAGACCATTTGGCCACGCACAATCACTCCGCATGTTACGAGAAGGGCCCAGAATCCCGAACCTTCTACCGGAAAGACCATCTTCGACAACACTTACGACTCATGCACGGTTGCAAGATGACCTCCAGTATGGACACATGGAAGTCAGAAGCCCAATACATCAAATCTCGTTGCGGCTTTTGCGGGATGAACTTTGACAAGTGGCAAGACCGCCTCGACCATTTGGCGAAAGAGTTCCGCAACGGCGCACACATGAAGAACTGGAAGGGATGCAGGGGCTTAGACCCTCATGTCGCTATCCACGTCACGAACGCGATGCCACCTTATCTCATCGCCAACGAAAGCAAATCGCCATTCCCGTTCTCAGCGTCCAATACTGCGAGCCTCAAGGTGCGTACCATCGTGGCGATCATGTGGACTGCGCACAATAGGCTGACTTGTCAACAGCAGCTTAACCTGTCCGTTGATAGCAAGGACCTTGAATACCTTTTACCCAACGTTGATGACACCGACTACGCGAACAACGTGTCTGCGGCATACCAACCTGGCAGTGATCCTTCGACTATTGGGCCCATCGTCCTGACGACACCGAAAGACTATTCTCCTTCCAAGTCCCTCGTCGACAACCCGAACGCAACCTGCTGGGAAATCCTCACACTGCAGCTGGGCCGTTTCGCACGAGAGCACATCGCAAAGCATGGCTCCGCAAATTTGACCGACGAGGTGTTGCAAGCAGAGTCACGTCGTATCCTCTACGATGACGATGATCCATGGAACCAAACATCTGCGGATAACCCCGAATGGCTGAACTTGTTCAAGAAAGCACACGGCATCAACTGCCAAACCCCAATAAAGAGTATGTGAAATCTATTCCTGTATGCCTCAAAACCTCTAGCTAACATCAACACAGATATCAACGGAGAACACGAAATATTCGAAGACCTCGGCATCAACTACGGCTCCGCATTGGATCCAAGCTTCGACGTGAGCAACTTCGCCTGCACCTCAATGTCCCAGAACGATCCGTTGCGCGCTCTATCCTACGAATTCGCGCTATCCGGTTCGGTAGGCGCCGTCCAGGGACACGCGCGACAACTTTCCTCGGGTCGCCAAACACCCTACAGCGTACCAGGACTAACCGGATCGCCTACCTCACCAGCGTCGTACGCTCCCATCACAACGACTTCGAGCGCAGACAACTTACTAGGTTTCTGTGAGCCCATCTCAGAACTCGCGTGCACAGGAGCCGGTACTTGTCTCGGCGAGCAAGGCGAGATCGGCTTCTCGATTAAGACTGCTGGGTTACCGAAGAGGAGGTACTGGCTCGATGATTCGACTGCGCATCTGGCGCCGTTCACACCCAGCGCTAGCGAACAGCCCACGGTTGACGGTTTGACTGCGGGTGGGCCTACTGTCGACGACTTCCAGTTCCCATCGTGGGATCAACTGCCAGAGGATTTTCAGAACCCAACGAGCAGCGCGGACTTTGACTCTACTATTCCTGTTACGACTACTGGTGTTGGTATGGCGGGTGTTGAGGGTACTGATGCGATGCCCTGGGATGATATGGACTTTGCTATGGATTTGGATACGGATATGGATATGGGTCTTAATCAGGTATGAGGTTGATGGTTTTCGGATTATCATTTGATCACCGTGATCTTTCCACCTGGTGCAAGGATTCTTTGTTTCCTTTAGGCTTTGGAATCTAGGCGTATACCGGGGGTAAAATGTGTCTTAGCTTTTTTGCAGTCAAGGTTGACGCAGAGATATAGATCTAATGATCATAATTACATCGCACATCCCTTGCTATATCCCAACATCCCTTTCCGCTATTTTCATTACCACTTTCGTCTACCTGCCTAACCTTTCGTCATTGTCCCACGTTCCACCACGCACGCACCCATCACACCACATCTACGTGGCTGCCAACTCACCGCATATTCTACCCTACAATTCACAATTCTACACAACTAGATCTTCCTTCGCAATGTTTCTTTCTCAACCTTCTCGATGTCTCCATTATATTAACCATAAAATTTACGATGACATCATCAATCACCAAACATCATCCTGGCGTTGTGGCGGGTAAGCTCCCCTTCTATCCCTACCACATGCTACTTACTAATTCTTGGGTTTCTAGAGTGGTTATCGCGTTAGACTTGAAATCTAATTCCTTAGGGAGCGTCAGTTCGAGTCTGGCCAACGTCGTTCTTTTTTTGCTGGGTTGTGCTACGTTGAGTAGAAGCAAGGGTGTTGCTGTTGGGAATGGGTACGCGGTAAGGCCTCTGGGTTAGAAAATATGCGAGAGATTCTTGTGGCAACAATGCAGTATGTACGAATGGACTTTTTGCATCGTTCAAGAGCTTCTTTTTGTTATTTGAGTTACATACCATACTTTCTTATATTTCTATAGCTGATCCGCGCTGACTCTTTGCACAATAATACCTGACGCCGCGCCGCCTCCATTACAGATAACAGCAGCACCATATTGTCCAACCTGCAGCTGATGTAGCAGCGTAACCAATATCCTGCTTCCAGAGCTACCCAGCGCATGTCCCAGAGCAATAGCACCACCCCTTGGGTTTACATTGTCGGTGCCCAGACCGAGGATCTTGGCGTTGGCCTTGATAACGGCGGCGAAGGCTTCGTTGAACTCCCAGATGGCGATGTCGTTCTTTGAGAGGCCGGATTGCTTGAGGAGTTTCTCGACGCAGGAGGCGGGGGCGATGGGGAAGTCGATGGGGTCTGGGTGGTGTTAGCAAGAGTGGGTTGTAAGAGGAGGATGGGGGTACGTACCGACTGCGGCATCAGCGTAGGTGACGACCTTTGCTAGTACGCGGCTGTCCTTGCCGTATTTCTGGGCGATTTCCTTGCTTCCTAGTATCAGTGCTGATGCACCGTCACTAAGAGGTGAGCTGTTGGCCGCTGTGACTGAGCCGTCTGGTCCCTTCTCGAAGGCTGGCTTCAGTGTGGAGACCTTGTCCAGCTTCAGCTTGTTGTACTGCTCGTCCTCGGAGATGATGGTTTCGCCCTTCTTTGACTTGACAGTGACGGGTACAATCTCGTCCTTGAAGAGTCCGTCCTTATATGCCTGCTGTGCGCGCTTGTATGTCTCGATCGCGTAGTCGTCCTGGTCCTGTCTTGAGACTTCGTACTTCTTGGCTGTGTTCTCCGCACAGTTGCCCATGTGGATCTGGTTGTAGACATCCCATAGTCCGTCGGCGATTAGACCGTCTTGCAGCTTCTGGTGGCCGAAGGCTGGTTGTTGGCTCGCCCTGTTCAGATAGTATGGCACTCTTGTCATGTTCTCCATGCCTCCCGCGACCTGCGCTTCCGCTTGTCCGAGCTCGATGGTCGAGGCGGCAATGTTGACTGCTTTCAGACCGGATGCGCATACTTTGTTGATGGTAGTGGCTTCGATGTTGGTGGGTAGGCCGGCGAAGATGGCTGCTTGACGCGCTGGTGCTTGTCCGACACCTCCGGAGAGGACGTTGCCCATGTATACGGCATCGATCGAGGATATGGGAACTTTCGACTTTTCGAGGGCGGACTTGATGGCTGTGGCGCCGAGTTGGGTCGCGGATACGGTTGTGAAGTTGCCATTGAACTATGGCCTGTTTAGCAGCTGACATAGTTTGGGATGACGGTTAACTAACCACTGCAGTTGGTGTTCGGCTGGCACTTATGATGTATGCATCGCGAATCTCTTTCCTTTGCGGCGCAGAGCTACTGAACTGCCTTTGGATGCTGGCCAGCCGTTGTTGAGGCCGCGAAGCCATTCTCATGGACGTACGGAGGGCAGAAGACGACATGGCTGAATGACAATATTCAAAAAGTTCGAACTATACTGAAAATGCGGAGAAAAGGACTCTAACGAGCAGAAGCGTGGTTGTCACATGGCGGCAACAGTTCCGTGGCTAAGATGCGGGCGGCGGGATGTGGAGGAAACGCGCTCTGACGTCTATGCCGAGGTTCGGCAGCACACGGCACCGCCCGGCTTAGTCGCTCTCTCGAACTCTCCTCCTTCCCCATACCCAGTGGTGAACCGACAGACCTCCAAGCTTCAATCTACGTACAGTCCAGTCACGTTACTGTCGACCTTCCGCACTCTCAGTGTCGACGGAGCGGACTAGAACGGTCACGTCTTGAAAAAGATTTACTTCGTCCGACGCAAACATGCTTCACACCAGCCAATATGTCACAAACGCGAACATGTCACGAACCTGCTCTTCACCATAGCCACGCGTGACCACGACGGCCACGCAGTATGGTGTACCGTACGGATTGGCTCGCTAGAGCTCAGCTGTACTGCAAGACCCACCTACACTCTCAAAGAGCTAGCATCGTGTGTTTGTACAGGGAAATGTTGATCGAGTACAGTCACCCGCATGATGACAGTTGACAGGATTGTCGTAGGAACACCCGTCTCACGCTTCGTGATATCTCCTTACCACAACATTTATTGACGCGCAATCCTCTTCTGCTCACCGGTTAGCTCCCGTTAGTCACGCGTTCATACCGGAGACGACTGCTTCGAACTCCTGTCGTCGTCTCCCTACTATGTATCTCTTCTTCAATTCGTCGTCAAAATCTCCTCACCGCCTGTACGGGTATCTGCACGATTGTACCTGCGTCAACATCGTGATACAAACATTGCCTCGCCATATTGGCTGCTGTGCCACGCCGGACAAGCGGGGCTCTACCCTACCTTGCAGTCTCAAGAAGTCACTCTGCTATGATGGGCACGTTATTCCTCACATGATCTATGAGATCATCCAGATATCCACAGGAGATGGCCTGCTGTCACATCCGCGATCAGACACAGCCACCTTAGTTTGGGTCGCAGCATCGCACAGAAAGCAACGCCTTCTAGTTTTGGCTGCGATACCGTACACAAATCCGGAAGGAAGCACAATTGGCTTCTTAAGACGTCCTCGCTATGTATAAGAAAGGGTCAAAGGAACGGTATGTATAGAAGCAAGCTCAAGCAACTCTTTCAAGCTTCCTCACAATCAAGCCACTATCATCAAATCTTCTATCAACTTCCAACCTGATCTCGAGACCTACATCGCCAAGATGCATCTCCCAACTCTCATCGGCTCTCTCGCCCTGATAGCCAACACCGCTTTCGCGGCCGACATCGTCATCAACAACAAGTGCCACTACTCTGTTTGGGTCTCAACCGTTCAGAAGGATGCAACTCCGCTGAAGGAGATTCAGCCCGGCGACACATCCACCGAGGCACAGAAACCTGCTGTCGACAACGTTGGCGTCAGCGTCCAGGTCATCAAGCAGGACGCCTTTTCGAAGGAGCCAATCTTGAACCTACAGTACTCTTTGAATGGAGAAGATCTGTGGTACAGCATGAGCAACACACCGAGCAACGACCCGAACGCTTTAGCCTTCAAAGACGAGAAGCTTCGCATCCACAACACCGACGGTCTGCCTTTTACGGAGATTGTTTGGGTCGGCAATCACAGGCCCGAGGGCACTGAATACTATCACGGCGACGCAACCCTGACGCTTGAGCTGTGCGACGACTTCGCAAGACGCTTCAGAGCTTAAAATGCGGACGATGGCTGGGCATGGTGGTGTCGGTAGGCGACCAATCATGGCTGCGGAGGGTACAATGAAAGACGCGGAGATGTACAACGAAGTGGAGTAGGGTAATGGAAAAAATACAGCGTGTATGAATGTAGGGTATTAGAGAAGACGTCACTCCTTTAGGATTTGATCATGATAGGATATAATTCAAGTGGGTCCGTTCCGGTCGTATCGCATGGCGCTCTGACATGTCGAATCGTCCAAACTGTCCACGAAAGATGATCATAATCTCTTAATTAATGTTGTCTTTCTGCTTGACCTCAAGGTTCTGCGGCGCAAAGATAGACCTTTTTGGTAGGGTTTGTTTCGGTTCATCCGAATTGGTCCTAGCGCTGTTCCTGAACGCTAGACCCTGGCAGGTGTGTGATGCTCGATTGCCGACCCTTCGCTCTTGCAAACCACATCCCGCCGTCCGCACCTCTGTCGCACTGCTTCGTCAAACGCGCAGTTGTTATTTGTCATAGTCCTAGTGTCACACAGCGAGCTGACTCCAACTTCTTTTCGACGCAGCAAACCGACCCCAACATACGCGCAGCGCTGCGACTACCCTGCTTTAGACGATCAACGCCTCCTAGACCCTCGAGGGCATCACCTATCGCCATGGTTCGAAATGGCAGTCCGTCGCCAGCGGACAACTTTCCGCTGGGTCACTCTGCGACATCCCCTCAACCACAGCCTTCGAAGCGCGACAAACGGCGCAACATGCTCGCCGAGAAGCTGGCAGAGATGATGGCCACCTTCTCCGACAACCGGGACAGTCACTACAGAGCCCAGCTCGCCGCGCTTCAAGCCGACATCAACTTGATCATGAAGGCCGACCCGTATGCGAACCAGCCGCTCGAGGACAGCAATGAAGAGGCCGCCGAGCTTGTCTCGCAGATAATGGGGAACAACGTCCCTACCGCACCGAGCGCGGGTACCGACTACATTGCGCAATGTGGAAAACACTATTCGCGATTTGTCGACGCCGTCAACGATGCGATGGAAGAGCGCGACTACAACCTGACCATGCTCTGGGTGAGTCCCTCGGCTTCCCGCTGCACTGGTACGAGACGCTAACCGCCAATTACGCAGAACAAGCACGAGAACACCAAGAACGAGATCGAAAACTCACACTACTACAAAGTCCAAATCGCCGAAGAAGAACACAAGCTGCTCGCCGCCACCATCCGCGAACGACTGGTCGCAAGCATACAACAACGAACGAACAGGTTGAAGCGAGAGAAGGAGCAACTGGATCTGTCTGACAGCAACGCGATGCTCCTCCATCCCAATCAGTTTAGCATAGGGCACCCCGCAAGCCCTGGCGGACCGCAAGCGCCACGAAAGACCAGGAGGACAGGACACAAGTTTGGCGACGCGGAGGAGCTGGCTGCTGCTACCGAACACAAGAGAAAGCGCAAGCTGTATGAGGACCAGGACAACGATTCGCCAGGTCCATCTGGTCGCCCCACCGAGATGGGCATCGGCTCACCCTTCCGCGAAGCCAAAGCGCGCACCGTCAATGCCCAATTCGAATCGTCCGCATACTCCCTCGAGCGCCTCTTCAGCGAGAAGGAGCTCAACATGGCCATGAACCAAGCCACCATGGCCGCGTCGCACTTCTTCGCCAAGATGAAGAACACAGAGGCCGCACCGCAGGAAGCCACCACAAACGGCAACACCAACGGCGCAAACGGCGAGCACGCATCCGAGAACGGCGACGCCATGGACCAAGACCAAGACTCCGACGACGTCCCAGGCGCAACCGACATGATGCGCCAACACTCGTCGAACCCACACGCGACCCGCGGCGCCACACGCTCAGCTCTGAACCCCACGGCGGCTATAGTGAGCGGCCAAATACCTCCGTTCATCTATAACCCGCCCTTTGTTCTAGACGCTAAGATCTTCCAGAAGATCAACGCTTCCGCACCGCCACCACCTCCCCTCGGCGCACACGATATCGAGCAAGACCTAAAGTTGATGCTTAGAGACGCACCACCCGACGATGATATCAACGAGAAACTTCTACAAGCTGCGTGCAACCCCGTCAAAGCGCGCGACTACCAGGTCCAACCACCTAACTTCTCAGAGCCTGTTCATGAGATGACGAGTGCGCTTCGGAGTACAGCGCCGCATCTCGAGGTTGGTGCTAGCTTAGGTGGTGTACCGATGAGTGCGCAGAGTAGTATGGCGGGGTGGTCGGATGCTGGTAACAACACTCCTCTGGGTCGTTATGGAGAGAGGGACTCGTTGGCTGTTGGCGGTCACGGTGGTGGTGTTGCGATGACAAGGACTGCAAGTGGGAATGGAAGGGGACGTGGTAGGGGACGCGGAGGCGGAGGTGGGAACTGAACAGGTCCATTGCGGTCTACATGAGAGTAAGAGTGGGCAAACCCAGACACGATACTTTAATGTAGGTGTCCAGTTCCTTTACTTCTTGCCTCTACTGTAGTAGGGGACATGATCAGGTCTTCCCTTGAAGAGGGTTCCACGGTGTATCAGGTTTCGCGTTACGGTCTCGCACTATATATATACCCACGATTGGCGTTCGGGCTCACGGGTCATCACGGCGGTACACATGTACTTATATGTTTTGTTTGATCTCCTTTGTATGTGTCTGCAAGTATAGACTTGGGTGGAGTTCTCTGTTCGTAGTGCTTATATCAAGTATATATTATGACTTGCTTTCTTAGCTCTTGTCCGCCAGTATGTCACACATTTCGATGGCAAACAATGTTGAAAGAGATCTCGAGACGAGCTGGAGTTCGTGTTATGAAGTACGCCGGCGGGACAGCCACAGTACGACCTTATGGAAATGAACCCTCAAGGTATGCACTAACTGACATCCGTATGAGTCTACCACGTTCAAGGAAACAACACCCTGCAGGCTACATCAAGATGAAATCGAAAGTTAGTAAGCTTTTGACGCGCATGTAGACTCCTGTATTATACATAATTTCCATCTTCTGTAAGTGGACGTTCAATCTCTTCCTGGGACAAGGTGAGCCCTTGAGAAGGTCCACCCTCACAAACACCAGAGTCATATCATCATCATATGGCTTTCAAGTGAAGACCTCAACATCACAAAGCAAAGACAAGACAAAGTATTTGAAGTATTCTCTCAATTCTCTCTACACAGGATATGGAAATCCCACTATTAGAGTACATGCTATACCACCCAACTTTTCCTCCGAATCATTGATCGTTATTCATCCGATGCATTCAGTAAAAAATCCGTGAAAATGGGCTCAATATTGGCCGTTGAAACGCCGTGAACTACCACCTAAGAAAGAAGAAGGTCTATGCTTGAAGATGCACAAGGAGAAAGAAGACGAACAGACTGCATCAAGAAGAAGCGATCCGCTTAGTCGACCTCCTCGACAGTGGGGCCGTCGTCGCCGCCGGCACCACCAGGGGCACCGCCGCCGGGCATACCGCCACCGGGCATACCGCCGGGCATGCCACCCTCACCACCGGCTCCGTAGAACTTCATCATGATGGGGTTGGCGACACCCTCAAGCTCCTTCTGCTGGGACTCGTACTCGTCCTTGGTGGCGGTCTGGTTGTCGTCGAGCCACTGGACGGTCTTGTCGATCTCGGCGGTGAGCTTCTGCTTGTCGCCGGCATCGAGCTTCTCGTCGACCTTGGAGTCGCTGAGGGTGTTGCGGAGCGAGTAGGCGTAGGACTCGAGAGCGTTCTTAGCAGAGATACGGGCAGCCTCAGCCTCGTCCTCAGCCTTGTACTTCTCAGCCTCAGCCAACATGCGCTCGATCTCCTCCTTGGACAGACGGCCCTTGTCGTTGGTGATGACAATCTTGTTGGTCTTTCCGGTACCCTTCTCGAGGGCGGAGACGTTGATGATACCGTTGGCGTCGACGTCGAAGGTGACCTCAATCTGGGGAACACCGCGGGGAGCAGGTGGGATACCAGTGAGCTCGAACTTTCCGAGCAGGTTGTTGTCCTTGGTGCGAGCACGCTCACCCTCGTAGACCTGGATAAGCACACCAGGCTGGTTGTCGGAGAAAGTGGAGAAGACCTCAGACTTCTTGGTGGGGATGGTGGTGTTGCGCTTGATGAGAGCAGTCATGACACCACCAGCGGTCTCGATACCGATGGAGAGCGGCGCGACGTCGAGAAGCAGGATCTCGGAGGTGGACTTGGAAGATGTGTCACCAGACAGGATAGCGGCCTGGACGGCAGCACCGTAGGCGACAGCCTCGTCGGGGTTGATGGACTTGTTGGGCTCCTTGCCGTTGAAGAAGTCGGAGACCATCTTCTGGACCTTGGGGATACGGGTGGATCCACCGACCAAGACGATCTCGTGGACGGAAGACTTGTCGATCTTAGCATCGCGGAGGACACGCTCGACGGGCTCCATGGTGGAGCGGAAGAGGTCCTGGCACAGCTCTTCGAAACGGGCACGGGTGATGCTGGTGTAGAAGTCGATACCCTCGTACAGGGAGTCGATTTCGATGGAGGTCTGAGCGGAAGAGGACAGGGTGCGCTTAGCCCGCTCGCAGGCAGTTCGGAGACGACGGAGAGCACGAGCGTTGGAGGTTAGGTCCTTCTTGTGCTTTCGCCTAGTGGAGATAGTTAGCATATGTTCATGGATACAAAGCAGTCTCCGTGAACAATGTGTTGGAGGAGGAGACGATGTAGGCGCCAGGGTGATTTTTGTTTGTACTTACTTGAACTCGTTGGTGAAGTGGTTGACCAGACGGTTGTCGAAGTCCTCACCACCCAAGTGGGTGTCTCCGGCAGTGGACTTGACCTCGAAGATACCCTCCTCAATGGTCAAGAGGGAGACATCGAAGGTACCACCACCCAAGTCGAAGATGAGGACGTTGCGCTCACCCTCGGTCTTCTTGTCAAGACCGTAGGCGATGGCAGCGGCGGTAGGCTCGTTGATGATACGGAGGACGTTGAGGCCGGCAATGAGACCAGCATCCTTGGTGGCCTGACGTTGCGAGTCGTTG